TTTTTTGTTTGGTATTAGCAGCCTAGCATGTCAGAGCCTTGCTAGAAACTTGTGTGCATTCCTTTATACAATTTTAGTTACCACTATAATTCTGAGTCGTATGCTTTTTAAATAATGACTTTATATCTTATTGAAACCGAATCCCCTTTTATGTGCCCAGATCCCAAATGAATAGTCTTAATTTTCAAGCCAGATTTATCATATTTCAGTGGAACACGTACCCAGTTGAAATAATTGATAATGCTAGATTAGTGTACAGAGGGTCACAGAATCAAAAACCTGAAAAGCTGGAATGGGGTGGCTCAAAGATAACTCACTCAAGAAATAGACTTTAAAAACCTATACCAAGAATGACGCTAGAAGCTAGAGAGTCAGACACAATCAAACCCTCCAAGTTTGACTATTAAATAAGGGTAATGATACTCTATAACTCAGGAGTACTGCTACAAGGAGCTCTGGTGGCTGTTAACTGAAAGGTCAGCCCTTTGAACCCAACAGTCACTCTGTGGGAGAAAGATGTGGCAGTCTGCATCTGGCTGTTCTATTCTGTTCTAGAGGGTTACTATAAGTCAGAATTTACTTGACAGCAAGGGTTTATTTATTTTTAGTTTTTGTTTTAGGATTATTTGGTAAAGTCATCAGTGTTATGATATATGATGTTCGAGAAGCAGAATTAACTCTATATCAAGCTCCCCTGTTGAGGAAATGGGAGTCAATAGTCAACTGACTCATCTCCCAAAATCTTACGAATAATCCTACCAATTTTGGGATGCATAGAGTATCTAGCTCATAGTAGAAACTAAACTAACTTTTTTAATGAGTAAATGGTTGAAGAATCAAATGAACAAATATAGGCTGAGCCAGAACCAGAACTTAGGTTTCCTCTTCCTCAAACGAGTGCTTATTGCCCTGTCAATAAAGCAGTGTTTTCCAAACCAGTCATCGGCATAGCAACATTGCAATTTTTACCATAACTTCCCACCATTTGCACTATCATTTAATTAATTTCTGGTTTTGAATTTAGTTCTATTCTAAGCAATAACATCTGCAAATGGAGGATTAAATGTCTTATTCATAATTTTCTATTACATTAAAATAAATCTCTAACTATATTTTTAAAAGCTCATCATGTACACCCAGAGGTATTAGCACCAATCTTTGGGAAACACTAGGTTAGACAATACTTCAGTCCAGAGAAAAATATGCATCAAGACTGCATAGAGTCATTCATATTTATCTTCATTTTTGTCATAATGTTAAAAGCATGAGTCCATGGAGACTCCAAATTCCTTCTCAATACTTACTTGAGAAACCCTCTAAAAATACACTAGCAATTTCTTACCTTGCCATCTAAATGTTGAATAAATGAATGAAAATGGTTCTGATCAGATTAGCTGGCTTGATTATTATCATGAAATTATAATCTTAAGAAAAGTGTACAGCAGCAACTTTAATTTACCAAATAGCAGCATGGTCCAGAAGCCTGGTGGTTCAAACCCACCAGCCACTCCTCAGAGGAAGACTAGGCAATTTACTTCACAGAGATACCTCCTCGGAAGCCCAAGGGGGTTCACTATGAGTCAAAATCAACTCAATGGCAATGAGTTTGGGTTTTCTTTCTTTCTTTCTTTCTTTTTTCAATAGTAGTATAAAGTTTAGTTTTGAAAACAAGTTTCAACAAATAGGATATATTCCTTACTCACCAAATTCAGGACAGCACTCATTCTCCAATAAATTCAATAACCTTTCAAGAGAAAAAAAAAGGAACTAAAAAAGAAAATATGAGTTCTTATTTAGGAATGAGATGAAACACATTTTGCAAATTAATGAGCTTAGAGTATCAGGGAACACACCTGGTTACACTTGAAAGTTTTCAAAATGCCTCCATTTAGCATATTTCACTTCAAAATATCCATGGTATGTTTAGAACCCTCTAATTACTTAAGAGGAGATAGAAGTTTTTATATGTGTGAAGAGTATGTCAGACTGGATCATCAAAATAATCTTAAACGTTTTATATTTTTCATTCATCATTTCTTCCGCATATAATGCATTGTCTTGTAACAGTGCTTTTCAATTTGGAGTTCTCATTCTGTATGAAAAAATTAATTGTGTGTTTTCATTTAGATTTTTGTATCCAAACATTAATATATGCATATTATGGATCACAAGAACGATCATCTTATAAAGAAATATTTCTATACAATTGCAGTTTTTTCTTTAATGTATGTTTTTCTTATTCAGAAGAAGGGACTGTTATATGGCCATGAAAATTTTTAAATTACTTTTAATTGAAAAGTATAATGAATGTATGGAACACTGTATAGAATAAATATATATTTTAATGAGTGTTCAATTCACTTCATGACCAGTTTGCCAAAATTTCAGCCTCCCTCCTTTTGATACTCCTTGTTTGTACTATTTAACTCCTTGGTTGTACTATATAACTGTCCTTTTTGCAATTTCAAGGACTTTTCTCTATTCATTCAAAGGCATATCTGACAATTATCAGCAACATTGTATTTATGAAATTTGTAATTATTTTGTGAATGATATATTGCTAGTAACCTTTTGATATATTATATTTTTTAGGTAGTTTGTATAAAGTCTTTCTTTAAAGTATCTAGCAAGATACATAATTGCTTCTGGAATTTCAAAAAGGTGAATGCCCTAAAGTAACCATATGCTACTTTATGGTCATCATTTCTTTTTCTTTTCTTTCTTTTTTTAAACAGTTTTATCTCCCACAGGTGCATCCTTAAAGCCTACAGTTTATTTTGTCCATTTATACACACACACACACACACACACACACACATTTAGTAACTCTTTATCTACATAATTTCTCTCCATTTCTGCCTCCACCTGCCCAATTTATTTGTTAAAAGAGTTTATGTTGTTGTTGTTTGTTCTGTATAGTGTTCCATAGGCTGGATTTCACTAATTTTATCCAGGTGGGAGGCTTTAACACATTTCTTTTTCTTTGGTATCTCTTGCAAATTGCTAGTTTATGGTTTTGATTGGCTCAGGTTGCATTGGGTGGGTGTGTGTGTATGTGTCTGTCTAGTGATGTTGATGTGTAGTTGTCTAAATCAGCATTGCTCAACCTAATTAGTTGTAGATAGATGCCCAACGTTTTTCCTTTTATCTTGTTGCTTCTATTGTTTTTATGGGAGAGGGGTTAAATTTAGATAGATAGATTTTTGTTGTTGTTGTCATTATGTGCTGTCAAGTCGGACCAGACTTATAGCAACCCCTCCTTGGGTTTCCGAGGCAGTATCACTACAGAAGTAGGATTGCCTAACCTTCCTTCTGAGGAGTGGCTGGTGGGTTTGAACTTCCAGCCTTCTGGTTAGCAGTCAAGTGCCTTAGGCACCATGCTACCAGAGCTCCTTTAGAGAGATTAAGAAGTTATTATTATCCATTGCTATCACCCTAGAATCTCCTCTTGTATCTGTGTTGTTTATCTCAGTGGCACCAAATAGCATCACTTGGGCTCTGGCTAATGAAAACAGAGGAGGGCTTAATGTGGAATTTATTCATTCCAAGTTCTTCCAGACCCAAAAGATATCCTGGTGCATAGCACTATTGATGGAAGATTTAAAAAAAAAAAAAAAAATCATAATTTAAATAGGAGTGATACGAGGATGGCTCCCAATACAGGCATGTTGAACTCTGGCTGTCAGCAACCTCTTCATGTTGTGAATGAAGATGCAGTTTCACCAAAAATTATCATTTTTCACATTAAACTGATGCCGTTAACTGTTATTAACTTTTGTAGGTTATCTGGCTGTTTTCTCAACATAGAGTTCTGGTAAGTTGGGAATGACATTCCCTAAGACTAAGTGGATGTCACTTGCCACACTACATTAAAATATCACTCTTGCTACTGTGGAAAGAATATCCTGGAGGGAGTAGGTGGCAAGAAGATAAGGGTGGTGGTTATGTTTGTGTGTCAACTTGGCTGGGCCTGGTTGAGTGGCTGTAGTATTCCCCACGATGAGCTGGTAATCAACTCCATGGTGGAATCTACTGGGAGCAGCTGAGTAGCTGCCTTTGGGTATGTGGTCTGCTTCCCGCATATAAGAAACAGCTTTGGGAATGGTCTCTAGCTTCTGGCATGCTTGGACCCTGCATATAGCCATATCATTGTTCACAAGCCTGCCATGCTCTGCCAACCTGGGGACTTACAATGATGCTTGAATTAATGGCCTGCTGTGTGGTTTGGTAACATCGGGACTGTGCCTTTTTACTTGTCAATCTTGGGCCAGCAGCTGTCTGAGTGAAGAAAAGCTTGTAGCTTCAGTGGGCCGGGAGCTGGAGGCAGAGCTGAAGCCCAAGTCTGAGGGGCTTTCACCCAGCCCGTAGAGCCTGGTACTTTGAACTTGGACTTAAAGCCGACAAACTGTAAGAGAATAAACTCCTTGTTTGTTAACGCCATCCCATTTATGGTATATTCTTGTCAGAATGGCACTAGATAGCCAGAACCATAAGTCAGAAAGATTTTTCAGTAATCCAGATTTAAAAGAGGTTGGTGGCTTGGACCAGAGTGTATGGAATGGAGATGAAGAATAATTGTCAAATTCTGGATATGTCTTCCAGAGTCAATAAGGCTTACTGTTGAAATGGATGCTGTGGTAGTTAAATCTGTATGTCAACTTGGCTGGGCCTGGTTGAGTGGGTGGGCAGCTGGTGGTAGTTATTCCCCATGATGAGATTGGCAATCAGCTCCATGGTGGGATCTACCACATGCAGCTGAGTAGCTGCCTTTGGGATGTGGTCTGCTTCCTGGATATAAGGAGAAGCCTTGAGGATCGTCTCTAGCTTATGGCATGCTTGGATCCTGCATGTAGCCATGTCGTTCAGCAGCCTGCCATGTTCTGCCAACATTGGGACTTAAGTGGACTTAAGTTAATGGCCTGCTGTGTGGTTTGGTTACATTGGGACTGTGCCTTTTTACTTGTCAGCCTCAGCAGTCAGCAGGTGTCTGAGTGAAGAAATACCTCTAGGTCCAGTGGGCCGGGAACAGGAGGCAGAGCTGGACAGCAAGGTTGAGGGGCTTTCACCTAGCCCCTAGAGTCTAGCTCTTTGAACTTGGACTTAAAGCCTCCACACTGTAAGAGAATAAACTCCTGTTTGTTTAGGCCATCCCATTTGTGGTATATCCTTGTCAGAGTGGTACAAGGTAACCAGAATAGATGCTGTATATGAGAGAAAGAAGGGTCAAGGATAACTCCAAGAGGTTTGGTCTAAGCAACTGGAAGGATAGGGTTGCCATTTATTGAGATAAGGAAGACTGTCAGAAAAGCAGGTTTGGGGTGTGTGCATGCAATAGTAAGTTGTTGTTTTTAAGTCACATTGTGTTTGGTATGCCCAGTAGACACAAAAATGGGATGTCAAGGAGGCAATTAGCTACACCAGTCTACTAGTCTAGGGCCTTCATGGAAGATCCTATATATCATGGAAGAACTATATATCATGGAGAAATATAATTGACAGTCAGTACCAAAAAAAAACCAAACTCACTGCTGTCAAGTCGGATCTGACTCATAGCGACCCCTCCTTGGGTTTCCAAGGCTATATCTCTATGGAAGTAGACTGCCCAGTCTTCCTTCCAAGGAGTTGCTGGTGGGTTTGAACTGCTAGCCTTCTGGTTAGCAGTCAAATGCCTTAGGCACTATGCCACCCGAGCTCTTGGCATAGAGTTGACAATTGTTATGTGCCATCGAGTCGGACCCAACTCATAGTGACCCCTCTTTGGGTTTCCGAGGCGGTATCATTATGAAGTAGATTGCCCAACCTTCCTTCTGAGGAGTGGCTGGTGGGTTTGAACCACCAGCGTTCTGGTTAGCAGTCAAGTGCTTAGGCACTACGCTACCAGAGCTCCTAGAGTTTACAGTAGATAGATGGAAATCAATGTCATCCAATAACTGGGTAAGATTCTGTACTGTTAGGTGTTGTCAAGTCAATTCTGACTCATAGTGACTTTATGAACAACAAAATCAAGCACTCTCTGGTCCTGAACCATCCTCACAATCAATAGTTGCTATGTTTGAGCCCATTGCTGTAGACACTGTGTCAATCCATCTTGTTGAGGGTCTTCCTCTTTTTCACTGTCCCTCCACTTTACCAGGCACAATATCCTTCTTCAGGGTTAAGTCCTTCCTGATAACATGTCCAAAGTAAGTGAGATGAAGTCTCTCCATCCTTACTTCTAAGCAGCATTACAGCTGTAATTTTTCCAAGACAGATTTGTTTGTTCTTCTGGCAGCTCATGCTATTTCCAGTATTCTTCACCACACTATAATTCAAAGGTTATCAATTCTTCTTCAGTCTTCATTTATTAATTGTCCAGCTTTCACATGCATATGAGGTGACTGAAAATACCATAGCTTGCGTCATGTGGTCCTCAAGGTGCCATCTTTGCTTTTTAACACTTTAAAGAGGTCTTTTGGAGCAGATTTGTCCAACACAATAATACATCATTTAATTTCTTGACTGCTGCTTCCATGAATGTTGATTGTGGATTCAAGTAAAATTCAATCCTTGAAAACTTCAATCTTTTTTCCACTTATCATGATATTGCTTGTTGGTCCATTTGTGAGGATTTTTATTTTCTTTATGTTGATGTTTGTCTTTGACCTTCATCAGTAAATGCTTCAAGTCATCTTCACTTTTAGCAAGCAAGGTTGTGTCATCTATCACAGGTTGTTAATGAGTCTTCCTCTAATCCTGATGTTTTTCTTCATATAGTCATAAGGCTAACCCCTACAACTCAGGAGAATGTGCCAAAGTCAAAACATGTATCCCTGTGGGTGTTACCGCCTTGTACTCAACAAATATTAAAAACAAGCAGGATATTGCTATGTGCCAAGTGCTAGATATCTATGAGCAGTGTCAAGCAAGACCACCTACCTTATCACTTTGAAGCCTGGTATATAGCATTTTGTACTGGAGGTGTGACCTTCAGCATGAAATTAATTTTTCTCTAAACTTCAGTTTCTTCTTGAGTTGCTATGAGAGTCAAATGGGATGAGGGGAGCAAAAATTCAAAAAAGTGCTATTAAGGTATTTTCTCAATCCTAAAACGTCATTGGGAGCTCTGGTGGCATAGTGCCTAAGGCATTTGACTGCTAACCAGAAGGCTGGTGGTTCAAACCTGCCAGTCACTCCTCAGAAGGAAGGTTGGGCAATCTACTTCTGTGGTGATATGCCTGAGAAACCCAAGGAGAGGCTATGAGTCGGATCTGACTAGTTGTGGTTGTTGTTATGTGCCATCGAGTCAGACCCACTCATAGCGACCCCTTCTTGGGTTTCTGAGGCAGTATCACTACCGAAGTAGATTGCTCCATCTTCCTTCTGAGGAGTGGCTGGAGGGTTTGAACTGCCAGCCTTCTGGTAACCAGTCAAGTGCTTTAGGCACTACATTACCAGAGCTCCCAGGATCGACTAGAGGGCAGTGAATTTTGGTTTTTTAATCTCCCTTGGTTGATTGTTCTAAGGAGTGCATCTCCTTTGTGTAGTCCTTATCTGCTCAGGATTTCTTACCCAAAGTTTCAGGCTCCTGCTAAAACTGAGGAGCCCTGGTAGTGCAGTGGTTAAAGCACTAGCCTGCCAACCAAAAGGTCGGTGGTTCAAACCCACTAGCCACTCTGTGACAGAAATGTGGCAGTGTGTTTCCATAAAGATTTACAGCCTTAGAAATCCTATGGGGGGGGGGAACCTTGTCCTATAAGGTCACCACAAGTCGGAATACACTTAAAAGCAGTGGGTTAAGTTGCGGGTTTGGTTGAGACTGAAGCGCTGCTTCGCCTGGACTGGCTTTCACACATGAGCTTTGATGGTGTAAAGATTAACACTGCTCCTGTAAAGATTAACAGCCTTGGAAACTCAACGGGGGTCGCTATGAATCGGAATGGACCCCAAGGTTGTAGGTAGCTTTTCCTACCCTCAACTTCGCTTGCCTGCTTTCATCGAATATTCCTCTTCTCGGGCACGCCCACCGCTACCTCAATCCTGATTGGATGTCAGTGTCCTTTTGTTATGGCAAAAGATAGATACTCGCTTTTGAGAAAGGAAAAGTGGGGCGACGGGCATCTAATACGCATACGTACTTGCTGAATCAGGATTGGCTGGCAGCTGGGCGGGACGAGGTGGGAGTTTTCTCTCAGCGCACGCTCAGTGGGTGGAGAAGGCGGGGCTGCCGGTGTCAGCTGGTCCAACTGTGGGGGCCTGAGGCATCTTCCCGATCCTTCACCTTCCAGCTCCTTAAACAGCAGGTGAGGACCGTCCTTGGCTGCGGCGACTGGAGTTACAGTCTCTGTGCCCCGAAGGCCAGAGGACAGGGCAGGCGGGGACGAGGGTGGCGTACCGCTGGCCGGAAGAGCGTCCTCGGACTGGGCAGTGGGTGGGCGGGCAGGCGGCCGAGGCCTGGCTCTCTGCAGAATCCCTGCGCCACCTATTTTCGCATCTTCTCTTTATCAGGCCCAGCGGTTTCTCTGGGGCGGGGCCGCCCTCGGCCCCAGAAGCAGACAACCTGCTGCCCTCCCTGTTTTCAGCCGGAAGCCCCTGGCCAGGCCCCCTCCTCCTGGGAATGGGACCGCGGGAGGGGCGTTTGGGTGGGATGGGACCTGGCACGGCCTGACTTGCGATGGCTGTTCTATCGAGAGCCCAGGTTGGAGAATAGGTTGGGGAAAGAGGACGTCTTGGCGGAGAGGGAGGCGAGTGAGCCGTGAAATGAGTGGTGAAGGTCTTTTCAGGCGCTGACAGCAGCACCCAGATTAGTTTCTCCGTTGGGTTCTCTTAAAAGAGTTCTGCTGAACAAGTTTGGGCGGGGAGGTAGGAGGGAGAAAAGGATTGGACAAAAGAAAGAGAGGCTGCTTTCCTGGAAAGGCAAAAAAACAAAAAAAACAAAAAAACCTCACTCACTTGGGTGACCCCTCCTTGGGTTTCCGAGGCGATATCACTACAGAAGTGGATTGCCCAACCTTCCTTCAGAGAAGTGGCTGGTGGGTTTGATCCGCCAGCCTTCTGCTTAGCAGTCAGATGCCTTAGGCAGTATACTACCAGAGCTCCTTCCTGGAAAGGCAAAGCTTTTGTTATTCAATGTATCAGTCTCACTAGCACTATGACATAACATTAAGAGCAGATGATATTGCAGGTGTTCCCAATCCGGTCCTATTCCTGAGGAACCATTTGGGGGGAAAAAAAAAGAAAACCCAACCCACTGCCATCAAGTCGATTCTGACTCATAGTGACCCCATAGGGCAGAGTATAGCTGCCCTATAGGGCTTCCAAGGCTGTAAATCTTAGGGAAGCAGACTGCTTCATCTGTTTCCCGCGGAGGGCTAGTGGCTTCGAACCGCTGAGCTTTTGGTTAGCAGCTGATTGCTTTTAACCACTGTACCACCAGAACTTGTGCCTCTGCTTCTCATTGACATAATTCAGCATAGCTAGTCCCTCTCTGGGGATCCATCTTGCCTTCAAACCCTTATTTAGTCTGACAGTTCCTTGATCTTGTGGGATTTGAAACTGGATTTATCTAACCAGAACTGAGGTGAAACATTGAATTTGAACAAATCTGAAGAAACCATGCTGAAGTCGATGCAGGTTAAAGGGAATGAAATTTCTCTTCAGTAGCTTGGTTCTTAGTAGAAATACCAAAGGAATTTGGCTTCAGGGGTTGTAAAATGTCTGACAATCTTTAATAGTAGTTGTTGGGTGCTGATGATTTGTTTTGGATTCACAGCAACCCCATGTGACAGAATAGAACTGCCCCAGAGGGTTTTTTAGGCCGTAATCTTTATAGCACAAAGGTTGGTGGTGGTGGTGGTGGTTATGTGCCCTCGAGTCTTCCTTGGGTTTCCGAGGCAGTATCACTACGGAAGTAGGATTGCCCAACCTTCCTTCCGAGGAGCACAAAGGTTAAGCATTACTTAAAGTTTGGCAGTTCGAATCCACCCATCCTTTCAGAGAAGAAAGGCCTGGTGATCTGCCCCTGTAAAGATTGCAGCCTAAAAGACACCATGACACAGTCTACTCTGTCATGTGGAGTTGCTGTGAGTAAAAAACAACTCAATGACACCTAACAACAGTAATCTTCAGGGTCTTTCTCCTGAGCTACTGGATGGGTTCAAACTGCCAACCTTTTTTTTTTTCTTTATTGTGATTTGGGTGAAGATTTACAGAGCAAATTCAGTTTCCATACAGCAGTTCACATATACTTTGTCTCATGTCATTGACCACAGTTTACCACAATGCAACAGTTCCCCTCCTGCTCCTCCCCATAGTTACCTCTTCCCAGTGGCCATCACTCCATACACTCCTGCTCCCTGAGCTGTCTCCCTGTGCATAAGCAGCCCTTCTTTCTCCCATGTCAAACTGCCAACCTTTCAGTTAGCAGCCAAATGCTTAGTCGGTGCAACGTCAGGTTCCATAAACTTTGAACAGGGCCATATTAAAATTTATTCCATTGTATAATGGAAGGAGCAAGGACTTAAAAAGTTAGCCCTGGGTTCAGATTCTTGGTACAGACTTTGTGAAACTGGAGACAAGATCCATAGACTTCCTGAGATTTAGTGTCCACATCTGTAAATTGCAGTGTGCTTCTCTTGATTTGATAAAATAATAAGTAATGCGTTTAGTACATTAATGCACAAAATATTATTTTAATAGTTTTACTAGTCCATTAGTAAATAGATGACAGATAATGGCAGATTATAGATGAAAATCTGTTTTGGTGCAGAAAAGTTTTGGGGTTGAAGTTGGGCATTAAAAAAAAGAAAAACTCACTGCTGTCCAGTCGATTCTGACTCATAGCGACCCCTCCTTGTGTTTCTCTAGGGAAGTAGATTGCCCAGTCTGCCTTCTGAGGAGTGGATGGTGGGTTTGAACCGCCAGCTTTCTGGTTAGCAGATGCCTTAGGCATTACAGGAGAAACTCCCACAATCTCAAGTCTCATATGTGGGCATAGTTGTGATGAAATGCTGGAAAAACCCACACTGGGAAGTTGGCTATAGTTGTGGATCTATTAGTTAGCTCTAATCTTGGGTAAGCCATTCTCATCTCTGGCCTTGGTTTCTTTAATATGTAAAATGAGGCAGCTAGAGCAGATGATTTTTCTAAAATTCTTTGTGTGGCCTGAATTACTTAAGCTAAAAGGTAGAGAGTAACTAACATTGAATACATATAATGCACTAGGAACTGTTTCAAGCATATATGCATATCCACTCATTAAGTCCTCATAACATCCCTATTAGGTACATTCTGTTTTTTTTTTTTTTTCCCACTTTACAGATAAGGAAACTGAGGCTGAGATGTTAACCTTATCCAGGGTTGCAGAGCTTAAAAAGGGCAGAGCTGGGATTTGAATCCAGGCAAAGTTCATGTTCCTAATCACTGTGCTAAACTTCCTCTTGAGAAGAGGGGTGTTGTAATACTATTCATAGAGATTGTAGAGGTATTTTTGGTGAGATGATAGTCTTTGGTTATGGTTAGGTTTGTGAGCACAGAAAAAATAATTTATTTAAATGGATCTTGCCTAAAGCTTGCAATACTTCCTGATCCTTGTACTCTTCATACCTTTTGGTTAAATTATCAAAATTCTGGATTCTTTTCCACTGACCAAGGGTGGATGAGGATAGGTACCAAAATTTACATTGATTTTTGAGAAGTTTTACTAAGCCTGTACTTTGGATAGGTTTAGGTTAAAGGTGAAGAATCCCAGAGAATATGTCCATTTCAGAGCAAGTACAGGATAGATAGAGCAACCTTACATTTAACAGAGCCTTGGCACCCCAAATTTGTTTGGCTGTTCTTGCACTTTAGATTTTCTCTTTTCATGTCAGATTTCCATTAATGTGTAGGAATGAGAAAAGTTGAAAACAAACTCTAAGAACACATTTGATATTGAATTTGATTGATGTGCTAGCAATTATAGATAAAAAAAGGATTTTATAGTTGGAAAAATTAGCCTTATATTGAGCTTATATTATGATGTGGTACTATGGTAATGTATGTAATAGTTTAGGCTAGACATTGCAGTGTGGCAGTCGATTCTATTTTGAGAAAAAGTAAAATCCACAGCTAAAATACTTTGACACAAAAATCCATGCTAGGGGAAAAAAGACCCCAGGTTCAAGCATATTGTATTTAAAAAGAAGCAAACACCAAACCCGCTGTCAGAGAGTCCATTCTGACTCATAGAGACCCTATAGGACAAAGTAGAACAGGCCCATAGGGTTTCCAAAGCTGTGAATCTTTACAGAAGCAGACCACCTCATCTTTTGCCTTTTGCCTGTGGAGCAGCTGGTGGGTTTGAGCCCTTGACCTTTTGGTTAGCAGCCAAATGCTTTAACGACTGCACCACCAGAGCTCATATTCTGTAGAGACCCTTTTATTAAGCCTTAAACAGGACAATGACAAAGACAGTCATCCAGATGAAGGAAAGTGTTAGCATGAGGCCAATTATGTCCACTGACTCACAGCCATGGTTTTCATTATATATGATAGAAAACAAACGAAGTCATTACAAGATCATGATTGGTGGCAGGTCAATCCATCACTCTTGCAGACAGGTCTACAGAAGCCTGGAAAGAACTATGATTGGGATATATACACAATTGCAGGTTAGAAAGCTTACAGGATTGATTCTGGGGCTTTGACCACCTGTTCAGGGTATGACTCATGACCATGTAGTCAGGAGTCATAGTCACCAGGACCTCAACTTTTAAATTAAATAACGTGCAGGTAACATACACCCAGGCAAGTTTTCTAGTTCTTTCTGTGATGTCATACTGGTTAATCTACTTTCAACCACATACTTCTTGAGGGCAAATTACCCCTTCTTGGATTTGAGCATAGCCACTTTGTTAGTTAATGGTCAGAATGAAATCAAGTCGTGTCTGAACTTATGACAAGACTCAAAATAGAGTTAGAGGTCTTCCTGTAAACCATGTTGTTGTCGTTATGTGCCGTCGAGTCGGACCCGACTCATAGCGACCCCTCCTTGGGTTGCCGAGGCAGTATCACTACAGAAGTAGATTGCCCAACCTTCCTTCTGAGGAGTGGCTGGTGGGTTTGAACCACCAGCCTCCTGGTTAGCAGTCAAGTGCCTTGGGCACTATGCTACCAGAGCTCCCATCCATAAACCAGGTGCTTTAGAATTCAAGTTCTAATTCAGATCTCAACAAACCTTTTGATCCCAGTATATAAATTAGCTTATTACCTGAAAGATACAGAAATACTTTGAATATACACAGTAGTTTTTGAGGTCATTTTA